TCTAAGTGTCTTTGGACATTTAGGTTACATCCATGTCTTGGCTGTTGTAAACTGTGTTGCTATAAACATTAGGGTGCATATATCTTTTCACAGTATAGTTTTCTTGGGATATATGCCCAGGAGTGGGATTGCTGAATCCTATGGCAACTCCATTTTTCGGAGTTTTTTAAGGAACCTCCACACTGTTTTCCATAGTGGCTGCACCAATTTACACCCTTACCAACAGTGTAGGAGGGTTTCCTTTTCTTTTAACACCCTCTGAAGCATTTGATATTTGTAGACTTTTTAATGATGGCCATTCTGACTGGTGTAAGGTGGTACCTCATTGTACTTTTGATTTGCATTTCTCTAATAATTGGTGATGTTGAGCATCTTTTTATGTGCCTGTTGTCCATCTGTATGTCTTCTTTGGAGGAATGTCTCTTTAGGTTTTCTGTCTATTTTTTGATTGGGTGGTTTGTTTTTTTGTTATTGAATTGTATGAACTATTTGTATATTTTGGACTTAACCCTTGTCAATCACATTGTTCGTGAATATTTTCTCCCATTCCATCAATGGTCTTTTCATTTGGTTTATGGTTCCCATTACTGTGCAAAAGCTTTTAAGTTTAATTAGGTCCCATTTGTTCATTTTTGCTTTTATTTCTATTGCCTTGAGAAACTGACCTAAGAAAACATTATTATGACTTATGTCAGAGAATGTTTTGTGTATGTTCTCTTCAAGGAGTTTTATGGTGTCACGTCTTACATTTTAAAGCCATTTTGTGCTTATTTTTGTATATGGTGTGAGGGTGAGTTCTAACTCCAGTGATTTACATGTGGCTGTCCAGCTTTCCCAACATCCCTTGCTGAAGAGAATGTTTTTTCTCCATTGCATAGTCTTGCCTCCTTCATTGAAGATTAATTGACCTGATAAACAAATTCAGCAAGGTAGAAGTATACAAGACTAACATACAGAAATATGTTGCATTTCTTTACACTAACAATGAAAAATCAAAGAGGGAAAGTTAAAAAAACAAAACCCTTTTAAAACTCATCAAAAAATTAAATACTTAGGAATAAATCTGACCAAGGAGATGAAAGACTTTTATGCAGAGAACTCTAAAACACTGATAAAGGAATTTGAAGGTGATTTAAAGAAATAGAAAGATATCCCATGCTCTTAGATTGGAAGAATTAATATTGTTAAAATGGTCATACTACCCAAAGCAATGTATAGATTTAATGTGATCCCTATCAAATTATTCATGACATTTTTCACAGAACTTGAACAAATAATCTTAAAATTCATATGTGGAATCACAAAAGACCCAGGATTGTCAAAACAATCCTGAGGAAAAAGAACAAAGTTGTAAGCATAACCCTCCCAGACTTTAGACAATACTACAGAGCTACAATAATCAAAGCAGCATGGTATTGGCACAAAAACAGACATATTATGACAAATTTGCTACTTCACTTCAATGTACAAAGGAGTACAATGTACTTCAACATACAATATCTTATTTAAATGGTATCACCAAATTTTTGTATGGGAAAAATATAAACCTTGACTTTTTTCTCACACCATATCAAAAATTAATTTGAAATTGATCATAAACATAAATGTAAATCATAAGACTTCTACAAACAACAACAAAAAAGGAGAATATATTCCTGGAATTTAGGTATACAGGTAATGTATCCAACAAAAGGATTTGTATCAAGAATATATAAAGAACTCTTTCAAATCAATAAGAATAAAAATAAAAACACAATAAAAAAGTAGGCAAGACACTTGAATAGGCACATGACAAAAGAAGATATCCAAATGGTCAAAAAGCATGTGAGAACAATATTATATCATTAGTCATCAACAAAATTCATATTTCAACCACTTTGAGATGCCACTACATCCTCCAGAATTTATAAAATTAAAATAATTGGAAAAAAACAACATTCGAAAGGAAATTGGAACTCTCATATACATGGTGGGCTTATAGGCAATAGAATAAATATGTCTTAAGTTCACCAAAAGCATACACAAGAATATTTATAGCAGCTTTATTCATAATATGCCTACAATTGAGAAATGGATAAATTGTGGTGTCAATGAAATATTGCACACTGATGAAAAATTTAAGACACTATTGCTACACACAGCATGGATGAAAGAATCCAGATACAAGAGGAAATACTGAGTGATTCCATTTAAGTCAAGTTCAAAATAGGCAAAATTAACTTATGACATCAGAGGTCAGAATAGTGATGAACTTTGGGTAACTATTCACTGGGAGGGGGCACAAAATATCCTTCTGGGATGCTATAACCCCCCACCGTGGGTAGTCCTACAGTTTTTCATCATCTCTCATTAGTGTCCCTTAATTCCGCTCACAATTTTGTAAGTAGTCTGTTGTTTCAGCTGTCACCAGTCATTTTGAGGGAGTCAATGATTTCTGACATGGTTCTCACTGATAAAAGTTTGCCCTTTTCACCTTACCCTGCCATTAAGCCTCTCTCAGTTGCCAATAAAATTGTCTCCCTCACCAGTGTCTTACTTTGCCTGGTCGTTTGCTTGATATATATGAACGTGTAGTGGCTTAGAATTGGGGTGTCCTCATTCCCATGCTCGCTCAGTGAGAGAGACAAGAGATTTCTTTCCTCTTTGTAGATATTTCAAGGTCAGAGAGGTTTTGCTTAGATGTAGTCTAGAACACATTTTTTCCCCCAAAGATCATTACTCCAAAACTGGGCTATTACAAGTCTTACATTTGATATTTTCCATTTTCATGGGAATTTGTTGTTTTTCTCTTTGAAGTTTTAGGGGAATGCAATATAAATTATAGCCTAATATTGCAACATGGATCTTTGTTTTAATAAGCTATAAGTAAGTAATTCTCTTTTTCTTCTTTATATTAAGCATTCCTATATGCAATATTAATACAATCTTAATTAGTCTCAGATTATTACATTTTAGTTATTTCCTTAAGCTGCTTTAGATAGTTTTGCACCTGGGTTGGAAATAAATAATCGATGTATTAATTATCTTAGTGGTATATATTGGACATAATATATAATTAAACTATATATCTATTATAAACTATTGACATAATCCCTGAACCAGTTTTTTTCTTGATTATTAGTTCATTAATCACCATGAAGCAGATGATTCAAAGATTTGTTTATGTGAGTAACAACTCAGCTATAAACCAATGCCTGCAGTTTTATCCACCCTTGTGCCTTGTTATTGGAGGTCATGCTTGAAATAACTGTTTGGTTTTGTTTGTTGTTTGCTTTGTTTTTCTGCCCACAGACACTCATGAGCTTCACATATCCTGGTTCTGCTACTCTGGAGCATGAATAATTGTCTTATCTTTTTGCCATACCACCAACGCTCCCCAAAGTGATTTTCTTGTATATCATATAATCTATATTTTGAGGTAGACCATACCATACAACCATGCTTTCTAAATGTATTGAAAATTCAACTACTCTTCCATGAATCTTGGTTGTGGTTACTCTGTTTAACTTAATCTTCACTACTTTTTCCTTCCAATATTTTCTTCTCCTTCTTTTTCCTCTGGGAAGATTTTTGGCAGTTCAGTTGCTAACTCTTTCCCTAACTAATTTACCTATCTTATTTTTCACTCCTTCAGGGATTTGATAGGTGCCAGCCAGCTCTCTCTGATGGAAAATTAATGTGCTTTAATGTGCTTCATCTCAAAGGAATATTGTATTTTAACGAATAACTCCCATAGATGATATGTCAGCGTAAAATAATTAATCCTATAAATGGAGGTCTCAAATTCTGTGGCAAATCAGCTGGAATATTATGCTTCAAAAGTCATCCTTTCCCAGCACTCCTCAAATCTAACAGGTCGTTTGTACACAGTTTACAAAGATATGAGCCTTCTCTTTTCTCAGATAAGTATGGCTATAAATGCCAAACATGTTTTGACTGGAATACCATCTAAGGCATGTTGGCATAATCAAGTACTTGTTACATATAAGGCATATGCTAAGTTTGATTTACTCACTCCTAGGAGATGACAGATACAAAATTTAGACCTAGAAAGCCCATTTCTGAACTTTCTGCCTGCAACACTTCTCAACATGGAAAAACGCTTTAGCTAGTTCCTTTCAATTTATACTTTTTTTTTGAAGGATTTTTTTTTTTATTCAGGTAACTGCATAAAGGAAACCAGAAGGCGGCCCAGGTTGAGACAAATAATGGCTACCTCCTCCCTGACAGAACAGAGGGAGAAGGTGACCCCTACACCTGCCAGTCAAACAGGCCCTCTCCTTACTCTGCTGAGCATCCTAGGGGCAGGGCCCCACCTTCCCTGGGACTGGGGTAGTCGGTAACCCAGCCTGCTTTGCCCTAGGCCCCTTTCTCTAAGAGGAGGAGGGGACTGTGGAGGAGGAATGTGGGCAGAACAGGAGGCAATGAGGATGAACATAGCAGCAGCAATGACGAATGTCTAAGAATGAACTATTGAACAAAACACAACACAACTGTCTAGAGGTAGTTTGTGACCAGAGGAAAGATGGAACCAGAGCCTTGGGGGGTGGGGAGGAGCAGAAGGGTGGGAGTGGGCAAGGCTAGCTCCTTGTTATTAGTGCCCCATGTTAGGGAAGGGGAAACTGAGGCCCAGAGTGGAAGCAGATGGGGAGGAGGCATGGCTCCAGCCCACCTTGAGTGGCTGCCACAGGGAACCCAGGCCCCTGGGCCTCCCCTGGATAAAGATGGCTCTGCATCCATCACTGCAGTAGACTCCAGGGTGACGGCAAGGTGGGCTAGAGCCTGCTTAGGGCGGGTAGGGGGCTTAGACCCCTCCCGCCTTCCTTCCTGCCTACTGCAGGGACTAGGCAAGGTGGGGAAGAAAAATGGGTGTGAGCCACACCTGCTGCTGTTAGTACAGAGGGAGTGGGCCATGTCAGAAGGAGATGGGGCTTGGGCCCCTTTTAAGGCCGG